GCGGTTTGACCGATAAAGATCTTCGTAGAATATGTAGGAACCAATATGAGCATCCAGGTTCCGCTATTGGTTATTGATCGGAGATGTGTCTCGGTCATGTCTACATAGTTCTCGAACCCGTAGGGTCCGCACGCTTAAAGTTCGGTGACGATCAGTATTATGAGTTTATGTTTTTTGATGTACCGAAGATAGTTCGGAGTCCCGGATATGATCACGGACATGACGAGGACTCTCGAAATGGTCGAGACATAAAGATTGATATATTGGACGGCTATATTCGGACACGTAAGTGTTCCGGGTGATTTCAGAGAAAACCGGAGTGCAGGAGGGGTTACTGGAACCCCCCGGGGAAGTATTGGGCCTTGGTGGGCCTTAGGGGAGAGAGAGGGTAACAACCCAGGAGGTGGCGCCCCCACCCCAAGGGGAGTCCGAATTGGACTAGGGAAGGGGGCGCGGCCCCTCTTTCCCTCTCCCTCTCCTTCCTTCCCCCTTCCCCTTCCTAGTTGGACTAGGAAAGGAGGAGTCCTACTCCTACTAGGAGGAGGACTCCTCCCCTCCTTGGCGCGCCCCAAGGGCCAGCTGGCCTCCCCCCTTGATCCTTTATATACGGGGGAAGGGGGCACCCTAGGACACACAAGTTGACATTGTTTAGCCGTGTGCGGTGCCCCCCTCCACAGTTACACACCTCGGTCATATTGTCGTAGTGCTTAGGCAAAGCCCTGCGCCGGTAACTTCGTCATCACCGTCACCACGCCGTCGTGCTGACGAAACTCTCCCTCGGACTCAACTGGATCAAGAGTATGAGGGATGTCCCCGAGCTAAACGTGTGCTGATCGCGGAGGCGCCGTACGTTCGGTGCTAAGATCGGTCGGATCGTGAAGACGTATGACTACATCAACCGCGTTGTCATAACGCTTTCGCTTTCGGTCTACGAGGGTACGTGGACACACTCTCCCCTCCATTGCTATGCATCACCATGATCTTGCGTGTGCATAGGATTTTTTTTTGAAATTACTATGTTCCCCCACAAAAAACAGATGGCGTACCAAAATAGTTGCGCATCAACCTCTTATGCGCCTGAACCCGTTCTCTCAGGATGAACTCAGGGCCAAACACGGAACTACCGTGCTTCGTCTTATTCCTCTTGTGCATCACAACTAGCATAGCAATGTCCTCTTCTTCAGTCAAATCAAATTTCTTATCAGATGAGGAATCGTCCATGAAAGAGAAGTTGCACGAGCTCATCTATAATATGGAAATCACCGCCGAACTATATCTTCACGCCCGATAAAAAACTCATTGTTTGGACGATTTTTTACCTTGGGGGAATTTTCTCGAACACGTCGCGTGCGAGGTGGAAGAAATGGTCGGAGATGGTTTGGACAGTTGATGGGCGACATATAGTGTGGGCGATGGCTGCAGACGACCGATGGACGGCCGTGACGCTGCAGGACAACACTGCTCATGGAAACACACCAGTGGGGAACCGACAGAGGCTCCGCGCGCGGGCGGGCGTCGTGGAGCTCCCCTAGCTCCGGCGGCGGGCAATGGCTACCAGAAGCACCAGCGTGTCCGTGACCACACCTTCGACGACATTATGGCAGCCGGAGCTTCGACGAATCTCTGAATCTGCCGCGAGGTCATCGGCGGGGCGAAATCAAATCAGGGGCGGCTACGGCGGCAAGGCAGGCAGCGGGGTCGGAGATGGACGGACAGGCGGTGACGGCGATGCTTCTGAGCAAAAATCACCAGCGGTGAATGGGCGGCCGTGGGGCGGGCGGACGGAAATGAAATGAACGACAGTTGAAAGATTTCCGTCTCTTCAACCAAGCTCTCCTTGCTCGACACGCATGGCGCCTGTTAATTAAGCCTAATAGTCTATGTGCGCAGGTACTAAAATCTCGGTACTATCCAGATGATCGCCTTGAGGACACAGTATTCTTGGGGAACGCATCCTTGACCTGGCAGGCCATACAGTATGGCCTCGAGATCTTGAAAAAGGGCATCATATGGCGTGTTGGAGATGGCCAAAACATCCGGATAGCGCGACCGATGGGTGCCGAGGGAACCCTCGCGCCAACCTATCACGCAGCAAGGCACCTGTCAGCTGAGGAGAGTGGCGGAGCTTCTCATGGCGGATGGGTCCTGGCGTATGGATCTTCTCCGCTGATACTTCCTCCCGACGAACGTCGATGCGACATCCAACACCCGCACCTCGCCGCACTGCACGGACAACACCATCACATGGGCACCGGAGAAGAACAGTATCTTCACCGTTCGTTCTGCCTATCGGTTTGCCATGGACAAGCGTGCGTGTCCATTGGCCACCGCCATGAGCAGGGCACCAGATGGTTGTCGCGCCATCTGGAAGACCATATGAGGGTGCCCTGCTCCCCCGAAGGTATGCACGTTTACTTGGCGGATTGTGACCAACTCTCTAGCTACTTGGGCAAATAAATTCTCACGTCATCTTGAGCTTTCTGAGATATGCCCCATTTGTGGTGTGGAACGAGAGGATGTGTTCCATGCGATATGCAGGTGCCCCCTTGCGAAGGAACTTTGGCATGCCATGGCACTGGATTGGGTCATCCCGGGGGTTGATTCCGTTCGCAACACAGGGCCAGAATGGTTGTTCACCCTCCTTGAGCCTTTGGACGAGACGACACGTATGATCGTACTGATGATCATGTGGAGGACTTGGCACGTGCGGAATGAGATCACGCATGAAAAACGACCACCTCCAATTGAGTCCTCTCGACGGTTCCTACATGTATATATCAACTGTTTATTATGCCTCCAGTACCCCAATGGTGATGTTGTGAAGGGGAAAATGGTGATCAATGATGCGCCACCAGCACATACAACCAGCGCCCTAGCTAAAGATTCATACCGGCTACAGGTATGGCAAGAGGTGGGATGATCCTCCGGGACACTCAGGGAAACATCATATTTAGCGCTTGATGTGAACTCCGTACATGTGGTAACGCGCTGGGCGCCGAGCTCGCGGCGTGTAGGGAGGGGCTGGAGCTAGCCCTCCACCGGACGACACTGCCAATTTCAGTAGAACTAGATAGTTCCGAGGCAGTGTCGTTGATCATAGCAAAATCCGATGATAGATCAGTACATCGCTTTGTGATCCAGGAGATTAAAAGCTTGACCTCAACCGAGGATAGGGAGATTTCTTTTACTCTTTGTCGTCGTTCGCAGAATAAGGTTAGCCATGAACTTGCCGCTTATGGCCGTAGTACCCCCCGAACCGCAATGTGGTTGTACTCAGAGTTAGACTTCATTGTAAACTTGGTTGTGGCTGAGAGGCCCCCATGAGTAACGAGAATCTCCTTTACCCAAAAAAAGACGGTGGAACGGTTGACGGGCAGCTGGACTTTTACATCACTTGAGGTGAAGATGCAAATTTGCATTTTTTATTGAAGCAGTGTTTTTGAGCCTCAAAGATGTACTATAAGTTAATTGTTTTTTATCGACGTATCTATTAGAGATGCTCCCAGGAGGCATGATAGAATGACGTTTTTTGTCCCGGTTGTATAGACGCGCACAAACATGTGTCTGAATTCCCTCCCACACCTGTGATCAGCTCGCCGCTGGCCTGAATCAGACCTACCCAAACGGGCCGGCCCGGCACGGCACGGCCCGGCCTGTGCTAATCGTGCCTGGCCCGGCACGGCCCGCCATGGCACGTTTAATAGCCGGGCCGGGCCGTGCCGGCCCACGGGCGCTGCTCCTTGGCCCAGGCACGACCTGATTAGTAAACGGGCCGGCCCGATGGCCCGTTTAGCACGCTGGGCTGCACATTTTCAGCCTGCTCAGCTGGTTTTTAGGCCTATTGGGCTATATTTTAGGTATATATATAACAAAATTCTGAAAAATATATATAAAAATTAAACGGGCCGTGTCGTGCCGGCCCGCGTGCCCAGGCTCCAGGCCCAGGCACGGCCCAAAGCGTGCCGCGTGCCGAGCATGACCCGTTTAGCCCGTGCCGTGCCTGGCCTATGGCGGGCCGTGCCGGCGTGCTCGCGGGCTGGCCTGTTTAGCCCGGCCCGTTTGGCCAGCTATAGCCTGAATGTTCCGGATGAGACGATAATACTGCGTGGGTGGCTTCGTTCGACAACAGTTGTGATCAATTCAGAGCCGCAAAAATTATCAGCGTCAACATACCATGAAGCCGACGTGAGGCAAAAGAAGAAAAACGCATTGCTTGGACGAAACCAGAAGAGGAGAAGTGCAACAAGATTCTTGCAGGGCCACCAGTGACAGACATCTAGCTAGCTGGAGCGGCACACAGATCAATCCCTAGAGGCACCGCCGCTGGTTCTGATCCAGTCCAGGACGAGGTCGGGTGCCGATGCCGACAGCCATGGTAAACAACTGCAGGGCCTAGTTAAAAATCCCCACGGATAGAGATGGATGTGCGGAAAACATTATACGCACTGAAATATCGGATCGAGCGGGGCACCGCCACCAAACCTGCGATTTCAATTCCCAATCTCGACTTCTCCTCCGCCCCTCCCCCCGCCTGTCTCCTCCCCACTGAATTCGCCGTCAACCTCGCCACCTATGCGTAATCCCACGGCCGGTTCCCCCCTTCCCGCCCCTCCCATGGCAGCCGACGTCTCCATCCCAGCGCCACCTCTCTGCCCTCTGCTCTCCTCACAGCCGCGCGCCCAGTAACGCCGCCGGTTCCCCCCCTTCGTCTTCTCTGTTTCCAAGTGAAAATTCCCTCCTTTTTAAAGATTAGATTCGAAAGCCAGGCTAAGTTTGGCCAAGTTTTTATAGCCGAGTCGGCAGATGCCGCCGCTATTAGTTTCTTTTCAGCTGAATTCGAGCTAAAAGCGCAATCCTTTGGCCGAATTTGCTTTTCTCTCTAAGTTATTGGGCGGTGATTTCACCACCCACGGATTGGTAGGATTCTTTCGTTCTCCGCATATTTTGGAGTCTACTGAGGCTTTGGCCTTTGGGCCGAGGTTGCGTCCTCCCATGAAAACATGTTCTTTTGTCTCAATTTTAGAGGTTTCTCTCCTTTGTGTGCTAGTACATTTGAATGCTATATATAAAAAATACGTAGATATTGTTCCTGCTGCTGCACAGTTACACTGTTCCTGGTTTTTGGTTTGATGGCTCAATTCTGGGAATGCAATTGCAGGGCTAGTAGAGGATTGGTGCTTTGGAGCGAGAGGGTGTTGTCTCGCAGGTTTACAGTTCTCATTTGGCCCGTCGGTGTTTGCTCTTCTCTTAGTTGCACCAAAGGAAAGGAAGTCTGACAAAATGAACCGTGCAAGAAGAGGAGGGAGATTATTTCTCCTCTGGTTATGCGCAGTGGTTTGTCTCATGGCTCGGCCGGGAGCTTGCAGTGTGGTGCTGATGGCGAATAACACGACCCTGTCGTTCAGCGACGTCGAGGCAACATTTAGTGAGTGCTATAATAAATTAACCAATTCCCCTCTGTTTCAGTACCGATCAATTATCAACTCACTACTATGTTTCGTTGTTATTGTACATTTGTTTTTATTATTCTGAATCCATAATTTGAGTCATCACCGATTAATGGATTGATTGCTTGTCGTGTGCATCCTGGTAGTTAAGACTAGTATTTGGAAGTGCTGCTTTTATTACCTCTTGTATGGCAATTTGCACATGCTTTATAATGTTATTACCTCTTGTATGGCAATTTGTACATGCTTTATAATGTTACTAGCAAGATGCACGTGCGTTGCACGGAACATCAAGATCTTGTGGGAGAAAAGGATGAAGGAGGGAAGGCCTTATCTGCAAATGTGGAGAGGAGTGCGGGTAAATTGTCATAGTTTCCTTCCTATCCGTTAGATATAGATCGGACGGCCTATATTGCAGGATGGCAGTCACACCATCATCACCAACTCTGCTTTTTATAAGAGTAGATTACCTCTTGTATGGCAATTTGCACATGCTTTATAATGTTATTACCTCTTGTATGACAATTTGCACATGCTTTATAATGTACAAAGCTAAGTTGATGCTGCTTGACCCAATCTATATGTGTTAAAGAAGAACTTATTGGCATTTCAACATTTTACAGCTCCAGAAGTGAAAGGTTCAGGTTTAAACGGTGTAATTTACACCGTCGAACCTCTTGATGCTTGCAGCCCTCTGATAAAGAAAGCAGTCGAAGGTCCTGCATCACCATTTGCATTGATTTTAAGAGGCGGCTGCCAATTTGATGATAAAGTTAGAAATGCTCAGGATGCCGGATTCAAGGCTGTGATAGTATATGATAACAAAGACCTCGGTGTCCTTGTTTCAAGTAATGTTCCTTGACTCCTCCTTTTGGTCCTGACATCACTTGTTTTTCTTTTAGTCTGTATATCTTTAATAACGTGTCGCTCATGATCACCGCATATAAGATGGGTGATTCATGATGCTTTGGTAGCTAAACATTAGAGAGGTTAAAGGAATAGCAAGTAGGTATACAAATATCTAATCCTGTATCATGAAATTTAAATGGTTAGGCGCACCTACGACCTTTTTCAGACTACACCTCGCTAAGAAAAGAAAGCAGAAATCAATTGTAAAACTTGATCTGGCATAAAAATGACCATTGACATGTGCTTTTTTCTAGCCTTTTCTTTTCTCCAATATTATCTATTGTGCGCACATATTTTCAACAGCATTTAACTAGGAAGTGTTAACAGTGGCTGGAAGCTCATCCGGTATCGACATATATGCTGTCTTCATCTCTAAGACGTCAGGAGAGGTGTTGAAACAATATTCAGGTCAAAGTGATGCTCAGGTGTGGATAATATCAACGCGTGATAACTCAGCTTTGTCAATCATGGCAATATCTTTCACAGCACTGCTTGCTATGTCTGCTGTTCTTGCCACTTGTTTCTTTGTGAGAAGACACCAGATGAGAAGGGACAGGGCTCGAATACCTGCAGCACGAGAATTTCATGGAATGAGCAGTCAGTTAGTCAAGGCAATGCCGAGTCTTATTTTTACAAAAGTCCAGGAAGACAATTGTACTTCGTCAACATGTGCCATTTGCTTGGAAGACTACAGTGTTGGTGAAAAGATAAGGGTGCTGCCTTGTCGTCACAGTATGTTCTTCTCACATTTAAATATCACAATTATTTTCTAGTTATTGCATAGGATCTGATGGTTTGAGATCTCGATGCCTGTGCAATTTATGTACAACCAGATTAATCTGTCTACTAGTCATTGCTGATTTTAAATTGGGAATTAGAATATACTTGCTGCATTACTACCAGAATAGTAGCAAGAGAATGGTGTCATTGATCAAAACTTACATCATAATCACAATAACTCCACATAATACCCCTTTGTATGTTTGAGATACAAACTCAATTGAATATGGTCTTGTTAGATTTCATTTGTTTCCTGGTCGCTTAATGTAGATAAATCTACACTACGAATTCTACACTATAGATCTGAAAATTAAGTATTGCAGTGCTACTGAACCCTCTGTTATGTCAAGCTTTCTTTATTTTTCAACCAGTGTACTGATACTTGGCTGTTTCATCTTACAGAGTTCCATGCTGCTTGCGTGGACCTGTGGCTCACATCACGGAGGACATTCTGCCCTGTATGCAAGCGAGATGCAAATGCTGGAATGTCAAATTTCCCTCCATCAGAGTCTACCCCTTTGCTTTCTTCTGCTATTCCCTTGCCAGCTGAATCGACAGCTTTGTCTTCTTTTCGTTCAATGGTAGCAGCATCTCCTCCAAGGACAATAAGCCGGCATCCTTCATGGCAGTCCATGTCCCGCACTAACTCCAATTCCAGTATCCTCCACATCCGTAACCCATGCAGATGTTGTTCCAACTCACCTGCTATCAGTACAAGTAGGAGCAGTGTAGACCTTGCAAACATGTCATCGCCATGGTCTAACACTCTGAACCTTGCATCCGGGCACTCCCTGGGCGGAGGGCATTTTTCTCCGCCGATCAGCATCAGATACTCATCACCACAAGTCTCCCCTTTCGGTTACAGATTTTCTGGACAATTTGTAGGTTCACCCCACATCCCCCGTTCCGAGAACGGATCTCCAAGCTATTATCCTGGCTCTTCAGGGCAGCAGTACCCTTACCTGAGGCATCGCACGGAGTCAGGGCCGAGCTTATTTACCATGGTGCCCCAGTCACCGCAACAGACCCAGCTGCAGGATGGTGGCGACTCGGCGACGAGTCTATCAGCTTCAGCATCAACCCAGTCGCTCCGTCAGGCCTACCTGCAGCATTGCCCCGATTCTGATGTGAGCTTATCTACTGCGACGTCAGCCCAGTCGCTGCCAGGGTGCTGATTGCCCTTACAGGTTCACCATTGACGTCCAGTTAGACCTGTTACCATAGAATAAGCTCTCCATGAAGTGTTCAGCGGCCGCACCATAGTGAAGCGGATTTGAATGAGCAGAAGGGAGCTGCCTGGAAGAAGATACTAGAACCGGTGACCTTTAATCTGACCAACTAGCTGGGAACCTTGGAAGACTGGAAATGACTCTGCTGACCACACTGAGTTTGCAAGGATTGTCTTGAGGCGTGTGTGCTACTGATGATGCCAAGAGTGTATATTATTACAGTTTAATAGGGATCTGTTAGTTGCAGTCAGAAATGCCTTGTGCTAGTAAGATGACGTATATATATTCTGTTCATGAATGCTTCAGAGAAATATATCAATCTTGTTGGTTCTCACTCTGTTTTGAAGGGTTGATCAGTGCCTATGGCGGACCTGTAATCATGTTTATACTGCTTGTATGTTTTCTGTTATTGGTTTTTGGTCTGGCTTTTAATTATTTGTTCTGGGTCTGGTTTTTGGTTGCCTTCGCCTTTTTGTATTGGAGTTTTCCCCCCTTTTTTTGTTAAGCATTACAAAATACAGCAATTCTGCGTGCCCTAACCATACATAAAGAACGCAACGCAGTACAAAATACAACGAGAGAAGTATATACCGCAGAAGAAGAGGTACACCTAAGACTGTAAAAAGTTAAAATAGAAAAAGAGGTTGGGGCAACTGAGGCTTCCCCGGCCTACGAGATCACTTCCAAGAAGAGCCCGTACTTCAATTAGTAGAGAATTGTTCAAATCCTAGTTGTAATCCTTCTTGAAATCCATGTTGAAATCTTAGTTCAAATTAATGTTGAAAGAAAAACTTTCGTTGGTGTTGGGAATAAAGATGTCTTCTGGCCATTGATGAACGGGTCCCACATGAATTTCTGGAGGTAGCCAATATGGCGATTCTAACTTTGCACTTTGACTCGACGGTCTGCACAATGCATATGGGATGCACTCCATATACGAGGCTATCATTATCGCGACTCTAATGGAGGTGCTCGTCGGTTTTCCTTAAAACAAAAATGGGTAGGAAATGGAATTTCAGGATAACTTGAACTTAGGGCCCGTTCGGGGATCCACCAGCTCCTCAAAATACACGGAGCTGGGGAGTACCGTTTCGGCCGCTCTGAATTTTCTAGCGGCAGCTCCGTCCGCTCCGGGAGCGGGGGCGCGGAGCGGAGGGCCTCCGAACAGCCCCTTAGATGGTGGGTTACCAATCTACTCCTTCAGCGGGCGAGCTAGACACAGTTTATCTTTTCGGTTTAGGATAATTTATTTTCTGATAGTTGTCATGTATTTTTTGTGGCGTGTAGTGGGCGTAATTGGTGCTGCCTCAGGGTGGCTCAGTTGCGGTGATGGTCACATGTGCACTGGCCCAGGGGCCCAACCCGATCTATTCGCTCCAGCGATGGAGCCAGTCCGCCAGGGTATCTGGCTGCACGGTGCGGAAGCACAAGGTGGCTTGGTGGGCCGAGGGTGGATGGGGACCGTCCTAGTGGTGGCGTGGGTGCTCAGGCGTTCGTGATGGCTATAGAATTCAGTTGTGGTGGTGTTGTGTCTCTGTGTGGACTCGCCTCCATGGTGTCATCGTGGCTCGATCAAAGACTCAAATTTGACGGCCATGGTCTAGTACTCTTAGTGCGATGCAAGCAATGGCTCACTCTCAATTGGCAGTGGCTTGGTGTAACGCCCCGGATCCGATGCGCCAGGTGTCCGCCAGTTATTCGCCGTCGTTGCCATGTCATTTGCTTGCGTGTTGCATCTTGCCATATCATCATCTGTATTTCATCTGCATGATTTTCAAAACTTGCATCCATTCGGGTTCTCTCAGTTCTCTCCGTTGTCCGTTCGGAGTCCGGACCTCTCGCGCGCGCCCGTCGCCCCCTCTCAGACCTTGTTTCGTGTGCGGGTGTTAAACTTTCTCGGAATGGCCCGAGGCTTGCCAAGTGGCCTTGGTATAGTACCGGTAGATCGCCTGTCAAGTTTCGTGCCATTTGGAGTTCGTTTGGTACTCCAACGGTTAACCGCGTAGCCCGAAACCCCTCTTTCTCTTTGCAGCCCAACACCCTTCCAAACTGGCCCAAAACCCATATAAGTCCCCTCCATGCTCTCGGTCGTTCGATCACGATCGTGTGGGCGAAAACCGCTCCTCATTTGGACCCTCCTAGCTCATTCTACCCATAAAAAGGCATCCCCGTCCTTTTTCGCAGTCCAAACCCGAGATCCATCCCTTCCGCGCCGCCGGACATGTCCGCCCGCCGACCGGACGTGTCCGCCCCGCTCCCCCCGTCCAATCCGATCCAGCCACGTGGCCTCCCGCGCCGCC